CATGTATTCATTTTATATTACATATTTAATAATAAAGATAAAGTAAATATAAAATATAAACAATTTTGTATGAATATATTCTCTTTGTCCTCTATCTTCTATGACCTTTCATTCACTTTTGTCTCTGCATTCTGATTCAGAGATATTCTACAGGTCCTGTTTCATTCATCCTTACAATTTGCAACACGCTTCCTTCGTGCTGAGAATATTCTTTTGAACTTTAAGAAAAATTCAAGCTATTCACAATGCAGGATTCATAAAAGCGACGCGGCGTACAGCTGTCAGTCAAATCATCTTGTCGGTCCGAGCAGACATTAGCATTGCAAAGGAACGGTCGAAGGTAAGACAGGGCCGTCCTGTCCATTGTAAAGTTGTCTCTTTTTGCTGCTTACACGGCAAATGCATCTGAATGAGAGGTGCTTTGAACAAAGGAGTGAGCTTTTTTTTTTTTCGAGCTGGAATGCAGTGTAAAGTTGAGCTCACTGGGGCTTATGGGAAGTCTCTGGTGGGAAAGACATCACTGAGGTTAGATGCACTCTCATTCCTCTTCAATTATTCGCAGTCGGCCTATTCAGTATTTAAAAGCCCGCTTCATTTCACATTCATGAATATCACACATCTCTGGCACAGTAAATAAGTTGCTGGATGTACATCAGTGAATCCACAAACTAAAATATGAATGCGTGAATCTAATTTGTAGCGTACAATGAAAATGATTTTGAGAAACAGAAAGAGTAGGCATATGGTCTCCAAACTGTATCCTTATAGGAACTGCTATATTTAAAAAAAAAAATAAATAAATATATATATCAAAGAACGTGGGAAATACACTGAGATAAAGCTGATGTATAACAGAAAGCCTGAACACGGGCCTCTTTTTCTTTCTCTTTTATGACCGTCACTGTGACATTTTCTTATCACACCAAACAGTCCTAGATCTGACCTTTCGCCTACTTTGACTGGCATCTGGATTATTCTGATGGAATAATCGGTGTATGAAAAGCAACGATTTGACTAAATGATACTCGTCCTGCCCGTTGGACACAAGAGAACAGACATCAGCCAAAAGACACGACCGCTAGTGTGGAGTCAGAAATGACCTGCTAACAGTATGCCATCTTGGGAAAGCGTCTTTATGGACTGCAAATACTATTTTAAGCTAACAAAGGCAGGCATTTGATAAAATGGACAAAGAAGACATGCAAAGATCGATCTCTGAGAAAGATGACAGAAATGTATTCTGATGCTGGAGATGGTGGCAAGGGCTCCAGGCAGTTGCAAAGTGTTGTATACCTGTGTAGACGAAACGTCCCGGAGCTCCTTTGCAGAACTGCTTGGACTTGTAGGAGAGTGTGACCTCCACGACCCCAGGGATGTGTCTAGGGGGCGTCTGCACCCGGATAGCGTGAGGTGTGATGAGCTAGAATCCATCAGAGCACACGTTCAGTGGTCAGCACTCAATACACAGGCACTGTCTCCAATGTAAACGCAGTTAATGCTGAAGCTAAAGAGTGATTCATTACTCAAAGGACACAGTTATAGATTTTAGCCATATACTGTAATAGGATCTGTTATGTTACGATGTCTTGTTTGTCTCTAAAAATGTTTTTGGTAACATTAAACATTAAACTACAGAGCTTTCAAGTTATTTGAGCTCATTAGATTTATCCAAAGCAAAGAGATGGCACTGTATTCTTTTGAAGAATTATTTAAAAAATAATAAATATTTAAACAATTATTATTTGTAGCGATTTTATTAGAAAAATAATTTGGCTTTTATAAAAGAAAAGAAAAGAAAAGTATGAAAGGTTTGGTAAAAAAAGTAATATATTTTAAGGATAATATTTAAAAAAATAATTATTTTAATATTACTAATTGCATTTATATTAGTAAAATAAATTGGCTATTTAAAATAAAATTAATAATATAATACAAAAATAATAATATATAATATAATTAAAATATAATTATATAAAATATAATAATAATAATACAAACTATTCTTTAAAAACCTACTTCACTCCAAACTAGCATTGTGCCGAAGACCACTTGTAAACCGTCGAAGAAGTTGTCCCCAATGATGATGACGGTGGCCCCTCCAGTCGTCCATCCTTCACTGGGACTGATGGCCTTAATGCATGGAGTGGCTGCTTCGGAAAACAAGATCACAACACAAGCACAGAGTTAGAGCGGGTTAGTGTCAACGTTCACACAACTTTTGAGAAATGTTATCATTAAACTAATTGGCATTTACCAGTGTTTTACTCTACTCTCCACATACCCCAAATGCAAATGAAAAAACTGAAAAACAGGAAGTCTGATGACTGTAAAAGCTCATTTTATTTTTTTTTCTTTGGTGTCTGTGCATCACTCAGCTCAATAAAACCATTAAGTTTTTTTTGGTCTTTTATCGTAAATCCGTCTTTGAGCAGGCGGTATGGAGACAGACAGGCTGACTGAACGACTGGCCCAGTCTCCACTGGCTATGGACAGGAATTGATTGGTCGCAGCTCGGTGAGCTAACAGGCAAACTGAGGGGCTCTTGGTGCAACTTCAGACCACATTACTGCATATAGTGCTGTACACCAGCGGCCACTTTCCTCCAACATCAACATGGGAATGCAAAGTTCCCAAACTTTTGACTTGAAATCACTTCTGATTGCTTTTGAAAGTTCTCTTTGTTGTGCAAGTGAACATCTCTGGAAATTTTGATACCTGTGAATAGATGAAAGTAAACAAGCATTGGGCGTGATTTACATTCACCTGTTGGGGTGTAATGGAACAGCTGTTCTCTTTTACAATATCTGCATGCGTATTTTAGTGCGTTCAAGATGAAAGCCTGCCCATCTCCCACAGTGCACTGCCATCAGTGACTTCCTCTTCATGTGTTGGTCTTTGGAGAATTACAGAAGAGTCTTACTAAAAGTAAAGCAGCGACTTTCCTTTTCCTCGATTGGGACACAGGAGTGCCGGTGATTCCACAGTGATGGTTTTCACACAAAACAGTCACAGAGCTAATCACACAATTTTCCACATACAGGGACTGTTCTGAGTTCAGCTGGGAGGTGAATCTCTACACACACTTTCAGCATTTCATATCAAAGTGACATTACCCAATGCAGCCCCTTCAGATAGTCAGATGTGAGGTTACCTGTACTCTGAGAACTAGGTGAGGAAGTAGAAAGTAGCACTAACAAGTTTTGACTTTTTCTTCATTATAATAAATGCGGTTTGAATGTCAAACTTATACTCGCATTCAAACGTCTGGGGTCGGTACAATTTTCTGATGCATTCAAAACAAGTAAAAATGCTCACCAAGGCTGCAATTATTTAATCAAAAACACAGTAAAAATAGTGATATTTTAAAACATTATTACAATTCAAAATAACCATTTTCTATTTTAAAATATATATATATTTAAAAAAATTCTGTTAGCAAAGCTGAATTTTCAGCATCATTACTCCATTCTTCAGTGTCACATGATCCTTCAGAAATCATTCTAATATTGCTGCTCAAAAAACACATCTTATGTTAAAAAGAGCTGTGTTGCTGAATTTTTTTGGAGAACCCATTATACACCGTGGATTCTTTGATAAGCAAAGTTTAAAAAGACCGGCATTTATTTGAAATATAAATCACTATAATCTCTTTACTGTTACTTTTGATCATTTTAATGAATCCTTGCTGAATAAAAGTATCAATTTCCTAAAAAAATCTTACTAACCCCAAACTTTTGAACAGAAGTGTATATAAGACACAGTAATATTATTTGATGGATTTAACATAAATGTGACCCTGGACCACAAAACCAGTCATCAGGGTCAATTTTTCGAAATTGAGATTTATACATCAACTGAATGCTGAAACTGAATAAATAACTTCCCATTGATGTATGGTTTGTTAGAATAGGACAATATTTGGCTGAGATACAACTATCTGAAAATCTGGAATCTGAGGGAGCAAAAAAATCTAAATACTGAGAAAATCGCCTTTAAAGTTTTCCAAATGAAGTCCTTAGCAATGTATATTACTAACCACAAATTAAGTTTTGATATATTTATGGTAGGAAATTTACAAAATATCTTCATGGAACATGATCTTTACTTAATATCCCAATGATTTTTGGCATAAAAGAAAAATCGATAATTTTGACCCATACAACGTATTGTTGGCTATTGCTACAAATATACCCATGCTACTTAAGACTGGTTTTGTGGTCCAGGGTCACAAATAACATCACAGGAAGCAAAATGTGCATATTTTAGTGAAGTTCACGTCTTACCTTCAGAAGGGTCCAGGCGTCGTGCCCTCCGCCCATGTTTGGAGTTGTTGTGGACGAACATGTTATCTGACACAGCCAGGACATGGCCGTCCACATTCACTGTGGTGGACACCACCACCTATGGAGACACCAAAGCGTTTTTACAACCTGTTTGTGTGCATGTAAAATCACATTTTTTGTCTGTTCATGTGCATTCTCACCTGAAATCGCCTCATGTCTCTGGGATTCCCTGCATTTTTCAAACAGTTCTGATTACACTTGAGAAAGAATTTCAGGAAAAATCTGCAAAAGAAAGACAGAAACACTTTTAAGCGAACACAACGAAAACACTCAAGAACAACATCATCCATATATAAACAGCCGCCAATGAGTGATTTAGCCCACTTTTGAAGACACTCTGTGTAGACGTATAATATGCAATTAGAGTTGAAGTTTGATTTTTCTTCCTTTATAATGAAAACCAACTCTAGATTTGTTGATTTACTCGTATTTTTACCTCAGCCTGGCGCTATTGATCGGGAATGGATATCAATGAAGATGAGCCGTAATAGCCTCCGCTGCTGGAGGTGGGCTCCAGTACGAAATGGATTGCAGTTTTAATGCATTTCCCCTGGCTGGCAATCTCTATGCATTCATCTCCAGGACCATAAGCCCCACTATTTTGATGGAGTGCTTTCCTTTTAATTGCCACATTATCACAATAATAATCCAGGCAGTTAACAACCAGCAAGGTCGCAGACAGCCATGTCACATTAACCACAGGATAACCTCCGCCGCTGCCGCCCCACGGAGCGCACGGAGAGAAGGATGCTGGGAGAAAAAGCGGCAAGAGAAGCCCCGTCTGCTGTATAAATGGCCGGCATCTGCAGACGCCATTGATTTCTCCCTAATAAGACAGTAACAATATCTTTAAAAACACACGGTGCTAACTCAAGCGATTTTTTAGAACCTCACTTTACCGCATGACATAATCACCATACATACTTTAACCCCATCAGCGCTCTTACGGAGAGATAGATAGGAAAGAGAGAAATCCGGTGAGAAAGATGGAGAGAAAGAGAGAAAGCCTGCTCTCTTTAGCTAGTATCGACTGATACTTGATCTGGGTTGCTCTGTTGGCTGCTAATGCCCTTTATGGCCATGGAATACAATAATATGGGGAACCCATCCCTGAGCTCCATTCATATGATATTGGAGTCCTTGGAAGGAGAGATATGGATCAATAAGGATTGAATTAAAACACAGCAGGAGACAAGGGCTGTAAGTGAAGCTCTTCTCAGATATTAGAGGAGTACTGTGTTTATACACCGCCCCAGTCACCATCTGAAAGTAGAGAATCCTGCCTGAATCGTGGGCTCAAACCCGTCCCGCTTTGGTGGTTCTGGAACAGAGTGGCGAAACACAGAAGAGAAGAGAGGGAGAGAGCGAGAGATGAGGGCATGGAGGGGGAGAAAGAAGCATGTGACTAGAGAGAGTCTCGTAGGTCTAGACTTCTCCATCTGCCACTGGGCAGGAGTTGACAGGGAATGTGAGATTCCAGGTCTCGTCCTGGAAAAGCGGCAATACTTCAAAGCAGGTCGGCTCCCTTCGGATCGGGGCAGGACTAGCCCAGTGTTTGGAAGTGTGCGGGATGAGAGGGGAAGTGCTGCTTTTAGATGACAAGGCTCGGGGTGGAATGGGGATCTCAGACAGGAAAATGGGGGCGAGTGGAAAGACACGAGCAGGGCAGATTCTGAAAGAGTCCAGTGTAACCAGTAGACTTTAAAGGAATATTCTGGGTTAAATGCAATTTAAGCTGTATCAACAGCAAGTTTGACTGCTGTTCATAACCACATAAAATATTTAGGCTAAAATCAAGAAATGCACAGAAATGCATGTTTATGGGGCAATTTTTCTATGCTCACCCTATAGATGCTGCAATTCTCAAATATATTGCAACGATAAAAATAAATGTCATTGTGCTGAGTAGATATTACAATTATATACAAAAAATATATGGTTATTTATGTTTATGTATATTTATAACTATATTTGAGAAATTCTATCATATATACAGGCATAAGGCATATCAGCATTATAGCGGCCATTGGCCTATTGAAAATAAATAATTAAAAGACATTATCCTTGCTAATTAGCACAGAATGACAGAATAAAAGCAAAAAAAAAGAATCGCATATACAATAATCGTATCATATCATTGTCACTTTCAGAAATACAGAGCGTTTTCATTTCCAAGTGTGGATACATGTCATCCTGAAGTCCCCTCGAGGCCTTTGCAATGACTGATATTGTACCTGTGATACAAAGACCCCAGAATGAAATGGACAGATGGCTATAGGAAAAGACAGAATGACAGAACGGGTGAAATTGAGGTGTGGACAGAGAAAGACTGAGAGAGAAGGGAAAGACTAACTCTCACACTGAACCTCTCCCTCCCCATCTAAAACTTATTAAAACAACATAAATAATTAATGACCTAGAGCCAGGGCTCGGTTATTAGTCTCAGCGTTTCTTTTTCTCCATCCTTCTCTCTGTCTCTCTTTCTGTCTTTTGCTGCCTCTCTCTCTTTCTGCTCTTAAAAAAGTGGGTAAAGATAATGAGGGAGTTGGCGTCTCTGTTGTAAGCCGTCACCTCATTACGCTGGCCAGCAATCAATTACAGAGGGATGTGTGGCCCTGTCAGTCCATAATGTGCCTCCAACTCCGAGTCAGGAATTACTGCTGGTCTACAGCACCCTCTCCACTTCTCTCTCTCCATCCGTCTGTCTCTAACTCGAGGGACTGGCGAGGAAGGGGCTCTAGGGCCGAAAAGAGCCCAGAAGGGCTGGTCGAGTAGGCATCAGGCTGTGAAGGCCAGGGTCTCTCATCTGTAGCTCTGAGACTTGACCTTAGCTGTGTGAGAACACCTGACTATTTACAAGTCTTCAATACATGCAGAAAGGGAGTTTGTGTTGTTTTATGGGTGATGCTGGTGAACAAATGGTATGTTTGGTATATCTGAGTTGCTCTGATGGACAAAACCTGAGAACTTGTGAATAAAAAAGAGCAAAGTGTAAAATCTGAGCAAAATTATTATGGAATTAGAAGTCCCAGAAGAAAATTGTTACTCTTTTAAAGCTCAGGACACCTAATGGGTTTTGCATTTATGTTTCAGTGAAGTGTCAACTTTGTCTCTCCTAAAATTCCATAGGAGAAATAAAAACACATTAATGAAATGAGACACAGTATGAGTATAGAGGTATAAAATTACTGTGGGTATACAGCTCAGATAATCTGGTCTCTGAAGAATTTGACGAGTTCACATGGAGATTTCAAACTTTTTACTGCAGACTTTGGTGTCTTAGGAAATCTGAGCACAGTTTGAGATATTGTTGAGATCTTTTCAGAAACTCTAGAGGAGACAAGTGGGAGATTATTAGTGCCACAGGAGAAAAATCTGATAAAATGGAGATTACCATTTAATATATATTTAAAAAAGGATATTAAAAGGATAGTTCATCCAAAAAAATAAATTTCTGTCATTATTTTGAAGAATGTTTGGTGACACTTTATTTCGATAGTCCACTTTAGACATTCTACTAACTATAAGTAACTTTGTAACTACATGTGAACTACATGTCAACTAATTCTCATTAATTTGCAACTACATGTCTACTAACTCTCAGAGTAGACTGTTAGGGTAGGTTTAGTAGAATAAGTTGACAAAGAAAGTGTTAGAAGATATTAAGCAGACAGTCTACTAATACTCTACTAACTGCTAGTTGACATGTAGTTGCAAAGTTACTTGCTGTTAATAGAATGTCTAAAGTGGACTATCGAAATAAAGTGTTACCGAATGTTTCAACTGTTTTAAGTTATAGGGGTCCAAAATTACATTGGAACCCAGTGACTTGCACAATACAGTATGGACAAAAAACACTGAGACTATTTTTTTTTTTTTCAAAAATACCTTCTTTTGTGTTCCACGGAAGAAAAAAAGTCAAACAAGTTTGAAATGACAAGGGGATGAGTAAATGTTTTGGAGGTGAAATATCCCCTTAAATAACTTTTTCTTCACACTGAAAAACATTTGGTATAGGATTTACTTTGAAACAGTTTTGACCCAGAAACTGCTAGTAACTTTCACAAACAATTGCAAAGAAACGGAAAGTAACACATAGAATTAAACATAAAATTTTGAATTAGAAAGAATGAAATTGTGCTTTCTTGTAAAACTTACTACAATAATCTGTTTTATTTATAACTTAAAAAAAAAAAAAAAAAACATTTTACAGTGCAGACACACTAAGTGTGTAGAATAAGTGACTATAATTATAGTTCACAATACATCTTGTTGAAACAGTCTTACACACATGCACACAAAAAAATCCTCACGTGATGTGTGAAAAAGAGCACCTCTGTCTGCTCACCCATCATCTCACACACACACATACGCACATCCCTAGAGTCTCTCACTTATTACGTTAGGCAAGAAGAAGAAGAAAAAAAATCAATATTTCAGCAGAGGTATTTTTAAAAGCGGCCATGGCTCCAATTCCCGGCCACCGTTTGCCGCGAGTACTCGTTGCTTTCTATGAAAATATGCTCTTTCTTTGGGACGCTTAAGACAGAAGGCGATCGCTCTCGTAGTCTCTGCATTAGATTAGCATGCTGCTTTTTGTCCCATTAACAATGTTTGGTTCTCTCAACACACTGACTGACATCCATTTAACTCACTGTATCGGAAAAGGTGGAATCAAAGCACAACCATTTGACTGCGCTTGCTCTGTCTAGCCCTCTGAATGGCCTGGTTGTAGCTAACGGCATGTGTAATTATTTTAAAGCCATGTAATAGAATTTCTGGCAATAATTTAGTGCAGTCCAAGAATTTATTTTGTATAATAGCAAAGAGAACATTCCAGAAGCGAACTAGAGGTTATAATATAATTTTACCGACTTTGTCTTGAATTCAGAATCGTTTTAATTAATGAGGACAGGATTATATTAACAATAAAGGTGTACAAAAAAAGGCAAGGTGTGGATGTGCGCGTAAGAGAGAGAGAGAGACTGGGGCCCTCCTTTGCTCTCCTACACGTCATCAATTATTCACTAGCCAAGATGGCAATTACAGGACCGTGTACAATCAGACTAAATATTTAATAAGGCACTCAAACAGTCTCTAGAACGGATCTTTGTCTCTCTCTCTCCTCAGTCTCATCCTTTACACTGCATCTACCGTCCGCTCCCCTGGCCTCTTACCTTTGTTATGAGTACAAAAACAGTTTATACAGCTCACAGACTCAT